GTCGGTAGTCTCCCGGCACTTTGAGTGGCTATTTTTTTTTTAATTTTTATTTTTTAATGCTTGGAAGTTTGTTTGATTTGAAACAACTGCTTCTCTAAAAGTTTCCGTCGCTCAAAGGCCTCGCTGCAGTTAACGCTATGGTTACAGTTAAGCCTACCTGATCTTCACTCAGGTACCTGCCACCGAGACTCGCTCATAAACGTCTTCATGAGAGAGAACGGTCAGTGTTTATGGCCTGGGATACACGGCATGTTTACGTACTTCAATGCATGACTGGTTTCTTTCAGGAAAGCTGTAGAGACTTCCAAAAGCTTTTCCTGCCCTGACTACTGTGTGGCCAGCTGCCCCCCCCCTCCCGCCTCCGGACGCTGGGAACAGGTGTAATCTTCATAGTTTTATTGGTGGAGTCGCTGGTGATGTCAAAATGAGTAAAACGTGCAAGTGTTTTGGCCTTTGTTCACATATTTGAGTTTAAAAGCTTAAAAAAAAATTTTTTTTTGGACACAGGGTCTTATGTAGTCCAGGCTGGCCTTGAACTCTTTATGTTATCGAGGCTGGCTTTGAACCCCTTATCCTTTTTTTCTTCCCTCCCAGATGCTGAGATTACAGGTGTGTGCCGCCACACCCAGTTTAAAAAGCTTCTGTTTGAATAAAAATAAAAATTCAAAATCAAACCAGTTTGAATCAGCTAGGTTGGTACATTAAGATTGGGTAAATTCTCGAGATTTTTTTTTTTTTTTAACAATTAGAAATTTTATTAGGGTTTCAGTGGATTAGTGCTAATGGTGTTGCTGGATATAGCAGGAGTTTAAAGGACTGAGTCACAGTGGGCTGGGTCTGGACAGTGCCCCCCAACCCCAACCCCAGCACCAGCAGAGAGTTTAATGGAAGATTTAAAACTTGAGTCAGCCTCATTTTAGTAAGTACCGGGGTGAAGAGCAGTTTATTCATTTGTCATTATTCATTTGTGACGATTCATCATATTTTTCAAATAGAGTTTTAGTAATTTTATAAAATCATTCATTTATGCAAACAAGTTACTGTCATGTGCAACCATTGTGCTGGTCTCTGGGGGCCCAAATAATAGTAGTTGTTATTTGTCAGGTTATCCTTGGAACTTATAATTACTTGAGTACCTATAATGTACCTGTAAATATTGAGTGCCAAAAGTGCACTTTGCCAGGAGCTGGGATTATGATGGTAGGGCAAGACAGCTCTGGTTACTTCTCTTATCTAGTGGAGAAGATAGGTGGGAACAAAAATACATTACTAAACTAACCACACATTTTATACTTATTTACCTTGTGCAGTTATAGAGATTCAATCCAGGGCCTTGTGCAAGCAGATGCTTTATCCCTAAGCTACACCTCAGCCTTTTTCTATATTTTATTTTGAGACATGATCTTGTTAGTGGCTCAGGCTAGCTTTGAACTTGGAATCTTTCTGACTCAGCCTCCTAAGTATCTGGGATTTCAGGTGTGTTATACCATGTCTAATTTAACCACATGGTTTGAAGTGTCAATCAGATTATCTCCTCTTTAAACACAATTGAAAACATTTATTTGGGTGGGAGGTGTGGGCAGCTTTCAGGAGTTAATTCTCTCCTTCTACCATGGGGGACCTGGGGATTGAACTCAGGCTGTCCGACTTGGCATCAAGTGCCCTTACCCAATCTGATGGCTCTCACCCTCACTCTTCAGTTCAACTCCCACCCCTTTGTGACTTCCCAGCTCCCTCTGAAAGGGCACAGACCCACTACTCCCAGAGCTACCTCTTCTGGTTTCCGGCCCTTCACCCTGTCACCTCTCTGATCTCACTGCTGCTCTCTCCTTGGGTAGGCGGCTCAGTCATGCTAGCTTTCTTGTTGCTTGAGGGTCTTCTGACTTACAGTCTATATTGCCTGAGATTCAGCCCCTCTCCAGCTATGTCTGTAGTGCTGCTCTCTCTGAGCCCCTTCCCTCCTTTGCTCATGCTCTTGTCTAGGTGGACCTTTACTAACCTCCATATCTAAAATCACAACCTCCCTAGCAACTCCCATTCTTGCCGTCCCAACTTACTCTTTGCCTCATGTAGCCAGGGTAACCTCGAATATGGATGACCTTGAACCAGTCTTCCTGCCTCTACCTCCTAAGTGTTAGGATTACAGGTGTGAGTCACTGAGCCCTCTTTCATTGCTGTGCCTTTAGAATCTGGAACAGTGCCTGGTGTGCAGTAGACCTTCCTTATCCATTGGTTGAGTAGAAAGAAGGAAACGGGGCTGGAAAGATGGCTCACTGTTTAGGAGCCTGCATTGCTCTTGTAGAAGACCTGAGTTTGGTTCCCAGCACCATATTAGGTGACTCACAACCACCTGTAACTCTTGCTCCAGGGAATTTATGTCTTCTTTTGGCCTCTGCAGGCATCTGCACACACAAGTACATTCCCACAGAGACACACACACATATACAAACATGATTAAAAATAAAATCTAAAAAAAAAAAAAGGAATGATGGAGAGCAGATACAGTGACCAGAGGCTCCTGGGAGGTGACAGTGATGCTGAGATTTGAAGAGGAGGTGGATGTAAGCTGTACTGTTGTGGAATCAGGGTTGTGGCAGGCACAGGCCTGGAAGGAATGGTACAGAGAGCCTGGAGGCAGTAAACAGCCTGACTGCTGTGGACTTAAGGTTGTTGTGGGCACTTAAGGGAGCGAAGAAAGAAATGGTGAAAACAGTGTGGTGGTGAGCACCTGTAATCCCAGCATGTGGGAGGCAGAGGTAGGAGGCCAGTCTGAGCTAGAGAAAGATCCTAACAAAATAAGAGAAGGAAGTTTGGGAAGGAAGGAGGAGGAAAGGAGTGGGAATGGAAATCAGGTGTGTCAGATCATGCAGGGCCTTTTTAGAATTCACATGGCATACCCATCTGTATCCTATTAATTTCATGGCTAAAAAATGGGAATCAGGGAGGTTAAGTATGGTAGAGCTTGGGGTGAGAAGCCTCTGATTCCAAAGCTCTTATGCTTGACCACTACGCCAAGGTTGAAAGACCCTCCCTGAACTGCTGGGATAGTGGGAAGATGAGCAAGTCATGAACTTCCCCCAGGGGCTGTGGAGGAGGGAAGCATGTGATTCTGTCGAAAGTAGACAGGCCTAATGGGGGAAATTTTAAATTTTTTTTTACTATTATGAGAATTTTCAGTGTAGTTATATTTTAGTTAGGAAATAGTGTTAGCCAGGTGTAGTAGCTCATTCCTTTAATCCCAGCACTCCAGAGGCAGAGGCAGGTGTCTGAGAGATTGAAGCCAACTTGGTCTATATAGCAAGTTCCAGGCCAGCTGGGGCTACAGGGAGACCCTGTTTCAAACAAAACCAAACAAAATGGGCTACAGGGAGACCCTGTTTCAAACAAAACAAAACAAAATCAGAAAGAAAGTGTTAATATGAAATGCAATAGCTTATTCCTCCAGCCCTCATTATGTTCATTTCATTTAAAAAGCAAACCAAGAGGTTGGAGAGATGGATCAGTGGTTAAGAGCACTGGCTATTCTTTCAGAGAACTGGGGTTGGATTCCCAGCACTCACATGGCAGCTAACAACCCTCTGTAACTCCAGGTTCAGGGGATTTGATTCCCTCTTTTGGCCTTTACAGGCCTTGTGTGCATAGGTACACTTACGTACATTTAGGCAAAACACTCATGCACATAAAATAAAAGTAAAAATTTAAAAAGCAACCCAGGAGCCATATGTGGTGGTATGCACCTGTAATCCTAGCACTTGGGACATGGAGGCAGGAGGCTCAGAGTTCAAGTTTAGGCTGGCTATACAGCAAGTTCCAGGCCAGTCTTCATGGATATGACTCAGTGGTAAAGCACATGAGACCTTGTTTTAGAAAACCAAAAAAAACCCCTCAAAACCAAACCAACAATTATCCCCCCCTTAGAAAGTCCCCAAGC